AGAAGTGTTTGTGATGGTCGAAAGTACCACAGTACTTCTGGGATTTTATATGAGGATCAGAGTCAGAATCGTGCGTGTTGGGACCAAATAAAAGGACACCCAAGAATTCAGTAAGCACTAAAGTCGTTCGCTGAAATCATAAGATAAACTGAAAAGCATCAGACAGTTCTTGCGCAGCTTCGATTATCACTGATATGGATGCTAGCCTTGTATCACCGGGCTCGCAGAAGTTGGACCCAGGGACTTATGGCTAAGGCTCTGGACAACTTGCTTTAAACAGCCACAGCGTAGCAAATAAGAAGGTAGTAACAGACGTATAACGTGTTTATTTCAAGCACTCTGGTGGGCGAGTCAAGCGAGCAAAATTCAAAGAGTACATTAAAAGTTATTTCTCATTCAGTAGCAGTCAATAGTGAATATAGAGTATACAATGGATATAAATAATAATCAAGTCCACTGAGCATTACAGTTTCACTTCTATACTTCTAGCTTCGCACTACTTAGTATATACAGAGGAGAAATTCATGTTTTTCACAGTGCTACTTTGACCGCTAAATTAATTGCTCACTTTCCTTAGAGGCATGTTTGTCTACATTATTGTGATGTGCTATATCAACAGTTTTCATATTCCATAGCTATTGCTGTCCTCCTAAGTCTCTGATCTGATAGTTTGTCTCTTGTTGAGGGTCTGTGTGTCTCATGACTATGGTCTCGATTTGAAGGCCCCTGTGGCTTCTGCAACTTGTACCGTGGTTTGCTTCAGATAAGGTTCTGCTATTTATTTTGCAGGAGTGCATTCCGCAAAGTGCTTTCGGAGAAGAAAGGCCAGCTGATGTTTTAAGATTTGGGGTTTATATTTATAAATCACGATTGTTATAGGGATCGTACCACCCCGTCTTGGAAGAATACTGATTTTAAATCCGAATGTCACTCAAGCGTTCGGTTCTTCTATCGTAGATCTAGCCAATCGTTTTTTCCTAGTCATATTTCGGCGGTCATAGACATTCGCGCTTTCGAATTTGAGCCTAAGGAAAGTCATTTTATGAACATGGTCACATGACGACTAGATTCTTGGCTCTATTTGAGGAGTAACCAGAAGGAATCTGTATCTCTATGAATAGAACCCAGATCCTTCACTTGTACTGGATACCGAAAGGAATGAGAAGTTATCGGCGTGCAATTGACAATCATCGTTCGACTGACGAAATATACCCATTTATTCATTAACAGAAACAAGGCATATATCAGCGAAGAAATATTTCTTTTAATCATCTTTCAAGCGCCTTAGCACCAGTGTGTCCATAGGCAGAAGTGGTTTATCCTGTTAGCAAGTATCATCAAAACGTAAGATGCGTTGACATTGTTCAGTTTCAGGAACCCTTTGAACAGTCAGGCCAGGAAACAGATCGTGAGTTGCAGGATATAAATACCCTCCGGATAATCATGTGGGACAAAATCACACACTTCAGCGGTCATCATGCTCCACAGTCAAAGTGCAACAAGTGCCTGAAAGTAATGCGCGACTGCAGACTTAGTTTTCCCATGTTGAAACGACTCCACTGGACTGAAGATGAGAGGAACGGCTGTGATTATACCCAATAATATTTCAGGCAAACGAAAAAATTTTGTGCCAAGACATCAGGAGTTGATGCAATATGACACCGTTCAAGCCTCCCCCATATCTTTCGTTCAAATTCGAAAAGCCTTTTTCTCTTTGCAGCATTTTTCAACCGGGCCAAGACAGGACTTCACCGAATGGTAGGCCCCAGAGGGCATAATAGCTTTCAGCTGAAAATTAGCCACATACAGCCGCGGCAATAACTTCATCCGTGTCGTTCGGGACATCTCAACTACTGGAGATTTCTTTACCATTATCAATTTGATGGTGTCTATAAGCTGGCTCCTCTCATGTTAAACTCTTAATCTGAGAACAAATATTTATTATGGTTATATACGCCCCATGAGATCAGCACATTTACCAAACACTTACCTGGCTGTCGATCAGGTGTATTATCAACTGTCCATTTACCCGAAGTGAACCCCTTCAGTACTGAAAGAAAATCATACACCTGCGCTTTTGGATCAGGCTTCATCTCTTGCTATATCTGCCAGTGGAATATTCGCTATTATTCCGGTGAGCGGCTTATAAACTTATGAAACTAGGTCATTCCATACCTATCTTTAATGACGGTCAGTGGGGCATACCGGCAGACTGTGAGCATCTGCCTCTTACACGTCTTCTAGCATAATGCTGTCGTCAACCTATTGTGGTTGTGAGATTAACTGATGAAGAGTACCCTCGTTGCACCTAAAATGGCATGGTGTTAAGGAGGGAAATTTACCTTCGGTAATCTAACAACAGTAAGTAGTTGAATCAGCATTACGAATAACTGGAACATAGGCGTGATCCAAATTTTTTCTATCGCATCAACTACAGACGTCTTATCTTCAAGCTGAAGTTGACAGGAATTGACTCGCCTCCGATCCATTAGCTAACACCATGCTCAGGGGGCCATTCCTTTGAAGTCTGAGTAAATAATGCCACATCTAGTGGAAGAGATGCCTCAATAGGATTCATCAGGGTTCAGTGTCGGTGCCGGCACCCGTCATGTTCCTGACTCAAAAACACCGTTTAGCTTCTCAGTTGCCTTTTGAAATGATACTCTCCCGTGATGGTATGAAGCCATTGACGGGAATCAGGCGTGCGAACGGTAGACTGATTGTGCAGGATGGTTTGAAAATGTTTGGGGACCGGGTGGACTATACTGAGCAGAATTTTAATTCTGAGAAATGCAAAGGGGCACATCCATGACACTACACACGCCAAACACTCAGATTACATGATATAATGGGAACTAAAATCTGGACAGATAGTAGGATCCGGGAGACCAACCCACCTGTTAACTTTCAAGTGGACCTAGTGAATAGTATTGAAAACGCAATGCCATTGGTCTACAGTTCTTTAAATATTTCTTCCTTTGCACCACAATATCTAATTCTGATAGCATAAATGCGCGTTGCTGTGAACAGTAACGCCTGAATAGACGTTCACTTGAATTACACGATTGCATGGAAACTTGTGGATTCCCTAGATAGTCACTGCTGGTTCCTTTGGTCTCCTTCGGCAAAACAGACGTTTGTCCAGCGTAACGGGCATTGCGAAGACGAGTCAAACATGTCGACTGCTCGTAACGGAAAGTTGAAATCTTACGCCATCTTGGTCCAACCACTGGTGAAAAAGGAAGTATGACTGGAAACGATCTAAGCTTTCACACTCTGTAGTTGCTGAAAAGTGGTATTTTCTTGTTCATTACATAACTTATGGAACCTTTGGAGGTTTTTTAGCCAAATTTAATGACCTTCCTTCAGGACCCGTAAAATCTTGCACACTTTCCGACACATATCAATGTGATGATACCTGTAAACTGGTTTCTCTCCTGCTAACTTACTGATACGAGGATAGAAAAATATTTATTTGTCTATAGGACTGAAGGCACGTCTGGCAGAAATCCACCTCGAAGTCTTAGTTTCCTGTGAGCTGAAATGCTGCGCTATGGACAGGTACATTTCATCTCAATCTGGCATGTGTAACGGTACTTCAGGGCTGTAAACAGCTCATTTTTGGGCATTTGCTGAGAATTTTGAACAGCATTAGGGGGGCCTCAGCTGGAAGTCAAGATTTGAATTTTTCCTTCCCTTAAAGGGGACAAGAATCATTTAGAATGCGTTCAGTGGTCCTTCGTCAGGTTACCATGATGACTAAAACAGAAACTATTGGAGGCCCATATTGCAGCACTAGATCTGTGCCCCTTGGAAGACAGATGACCAATAAGTGACCCCATAGTGAGGTATGACACTAGGCGCTTCATATTACCCGCTTCATCATTTGTTTAAGCGTCAGTGCTTATTTCTATGAAAACCTTCAGGAGCCAGACCTCTTGGGAAGCAGGAGGGATATTGGGTTTAGGAGACCCTCTTCATTAAAGTTGCTTATGTTACACCTTCGGAGCCCTTCTATGATTTATTCGTTGCTCAGTTAAGGTCACTCAGGGGGAACGCATATTAAGTCACCGCCTAGCAGCACCCTTTATTCTGTTTATCCCTTGTTTGCATGCATAGGCTTTCCGAAAAAAATGATTGGTGGATCAGACAGCTGGGTGAAAGCTTCTGTTTTTCAACCAAGTAGATGAACCTATTTAAAGTATCATTTACCTGTATCCTTTCACTAACTATGGTCGAAAGCCCATCAGAGTCCATGAACTATGAACATTTGTGCTGACACTTCAGTATAACTAAATATGTACGTTGGACATCTGAGTGATGAAGAAACCATGGTTATAAACTAATGAACTGAAATTCACCCCATAAGGATATCAGATTCTTCATGATAGGGAAGTTAGGCCGAGGGAATGAATTAGATAGGCATAAGTCCAAAAATCCTACATGTTTTTTGTCAGATATTATCATTACCACTCGTATTTTTACTGCTTCTACAACTCTCGCCACAGTGACTCGTGAAATCGGGCACTCGTTCGCCAAAAATCTAACGTCAACTTTCCTCTATTAGCATACTCCACGTGACCTCCAAACTCTTGGGCTTTTCTCTATCTGCTAACCACAACAACTTCTTTGGGATATGGTTCTGGAGGATCCTGGCAGTGCCACTATCTCAAGACGAACTGTGCTTTTTTGGCCAACGTGAGCAGTCATTTAACTGCCTGACTTTTTTACTAGCGTTACAGTGAGCGTCTAGACAGGTATTTTGTTTCCAAATCCAACAAAGATACAGAATCATTCCGAAAGATAAGAAACAGACAAGTAGAATCGTTGATTACACATCATAACTCGATATATTGAGGATTTCATCATGGTAGTTTTTTTAAATAAGCTATTTGCTTTGCAATTCGGCATCTTTGTAGGTGCACATGTCGAAGCGGAAGGTTTACAAAATGACCTTGTGATTGTCACAAGATAGCATTACGATTCAGCATGCGACATAAATGGTGAGAGTAGAGGAAACTTGTAGTTTTGAGCTCTCGCTTCTAGGTCTTAAGTCTTGGATTTTGTTGTTTGGTTATACTCCTCCGATAGTCGCAGAATTCTTTGCGTTTTTCTGCTTATAGCTTTGGAGATAGTGATTGTTTATTTAAAGGTATTTTATTTGCAAATTGTAGCTTGGTTTGTTCTCGAGGAGACGGAAACAGAGCTGATTATGAGATCAACTAACTGTTTGCAATTCCTGTTTTGTAAGCACCTGCAAGTAGGTATTAAGCATTACTTAGGAAGTGCTAGAAATAGGCCGAGTCAACATTTTCGCGGGGCAAAACACGGGAGCAGATTGCAATAAAAAGCAAGGCAAAATTCGGGATTGCGCAACATCTTCCGGAGTTTTTAACCCCCATGTCCTGCCTAATTCCCCCCCCCTTAAATTTGCTCCGCGTTTTCCTTATTTTGCCCCGCGCATTTTATTCCCCACATTTCCCCTCGATTTGCCCCGTGTTTAAAAAATGGCTCTGCGTTTCCTTAAGTTCCCCCACGAAAATGTTGACTGAGGGGGGTGAGTGGAGAATAGGATAAAAGGAGTGAAAAGTACTTATGAAAAGATGTGGTACTGGTAATAAATAATATGGAGGAAATGTGCATCTCAGTGCAGATACTTGCGTTGGAGAGTACAGGGATGGAAGGGCGTATTATCAGTTGCTACTGATAAATGTTCCTGGCAAGCCATTTGCGCTCACAAACTCATCCAGTAGTCGTTTGAAGGAGTCAATTGATGTAGCTGTGGCTATTTCCTTCGACAGAGCGTTCCATAAGGCAAATTCTCTGTGGGAAAAGAAGTTAGATCTCACTCTCATCTTTGCCCTATGGTGGGTTATGCGAGTAGGGTTTTGACGAGATTGTCGGCTTTCGACCGATAATGTTGTCCTTGGATAGCTTAGTGTGAACAAGTTGAGTCGTTTGAGGCGTTGCGCATGTTTTGCCTGGTAGTCCGACAACTGACTTTGCTGCTCTTTGTACCTTCTTGAGAGAATTTGCGTCTCTTTACTAACGGAGGGGCTATCGTGTTGAACACCTCTAGATGTAGCCTAACGTAGGTTTTCAATACCATAAGGAATAATCCTGTGATTAACGATACAAGCTTTCTTCTTAGAAAGTGCATAATGGCGTTCGCCTTTGCTGCCATTCCCTTATAAATGCCAGTAGTGTATCAGAAAAGTTTCGTCCTAGGTTCTTCTCTGTGGTTACCTTGATGATTGGATACTTTTTAAGAGTGTGGCTGATTTTCATCGCCTGTGGTGTGCGAAGACATCACCTTGCATTTCTCCAGGTTTGGAGCTGACCAGGACTCCAGCTGGTCGTTTTGGAGTATCCTAGGATCCTCTTAGTTGTCTGTCGTCCTCCACATTTTGATGTCGGCTAATAGGAGGATAGATGAGATGTTAATCGGAAGGTTATTTATGAATGGTAAAAACAGGAGCGGCCCAAGGATCGCCCCTTGTGAAACTTTTTTTCTTGCATTCCTCTAGGTTGATCGAATTCTGTTTACTTTAGTGCAGAATTCTCTGTCCTCTGGGTACTCTGTAAACCATGCTAAGGGTGGTTTAGTGATACCCACTTGGTTTGCAAGTAGTGAGGCGCATGTTCAACTGAACCCGTAAGACGACGGCACTGACAAAACTAGAAACTACAGCTTTGTCTTTTCGTAGGGCTAAATCGCACCGACCAATCATAACGACAGTTAACGCTTTATCTCATCGCGCAAAGTTGGATATTTACATTGTGAAGCTTAGAATCGCGTTCGGCGACAGGCACTCAGCGGACCCATCTAGTTAGTTTTCTTTGAGTGACAGAAAGTATATTTAGTTATTCTGTTGTCGCTAGGGTGCTCCTTGAAGTTAGTCTCACCCCAAACGCTTGTGGATTTGGGAGTAGTCCTTCTTCAACCTAGTATTCTTAAGCTTTTTGTAAAAGTCTAGACTTATTTGTCTGCCGATGCACCCGTTTACAGGAAATGGATGCTTTATCTAATAATATTCCAAATACGACTTTAAAAACAAAGGTAACCCAGTCAACATTTACGCGGGGCAAAACAAGGGGGTATGTCGCAGATGGCAGTGAAAACATGGGCAAAACGCGGGATGATGCAACGTATCCTCGAGTTTTCAACCTGCGTGTCCTACCCCACGTTTCCCCTCGATTCGCCCCTTGTTTGAAAAGTGGCCCTGTGTTTTGCCCCGAGTTTCGTCACGAAAATGTTGACTGGATAAAATGTTTTTTTATAAACTTTGGATGGATATGCATATGCTCTACTACAAGGGCGACTTTGGGACTTCAAAACTTTAGACAATTTCGGTAAAAAAAATCAATTTTCCGGCTTGAAGCCCTAGATTTAGGGTTTTGCACAATATTTCAAATTAGGAATGTACCGTAAGGTGGATTTTAAATAAATACTATAGCTGGCTGAGTCGCCAACCGAAATGCATAGGTCTTTTGATGTAATAAACCATAATCCTGTAGTTGTAATATGATAATTAAATACACCACCTAGTCCCCAAAGCGTAACAAATGACAACACAACAGAAGATGGTCTGACAACACTACTGTAAACATTTTTGGGGGCTAAACGGAAGGGAGTGTGTGTGTCGAAAATTGCAATTAAAGCCCTGGGCAAAGTGCACGACTTTCAACACTTCCCAGTTCTTTTTCCACGAAAAGCCTCGCATTTTTCTAATTAACCCTTTGTTTTGAAAATGTTGACTGGATTCTCGTGAATCCACGAATTAATTTGTTTGTAGCTGAGGAAATGAACTAAATCTATATAATATTTATAGACCGTCTTACGGCAATCCTAAAACCGTCAGTATGGTATGCCAGTTAAATGCATCCAATTACAGGCAAAAGGTAATAAGGCGAAATAGTTACAAAATGCTGATTTTCATGTAAAAGGTTTTCTGTGTAATAATCGTACCTGAAAATTGACTGCACTTATCAGATGTTTCTAATAGACCCTCTATTGTGGGAAAAATTGTTCTTAAGAATTAGAAGCAGTTGTACCAGCATATACGCCTTCAGCTGGAGCTCGTCTTATGTTGGGTGACTTTCATTTCCAGCATGCTTTCGGGTTACACGGAAATAATTTTGGTTGGAATATCAAAGTCGTTTTCAGCTTCCGTTGTTCACTTCAAAAAGTTTGATATGGTAGCAAGCAAAAGAGTTTTGATTGTTAGCATTCCTCTAACTATCCATTGTTTAGTACTTGTGTTACAATTATCAGGTACAACGACCACGTTGCTGAGTTTCGTTGTTTGCAGAACTTCTAATGAATTTCTCTTAAATTTATTCTCAATTGATATCCGAAAACTAGAACACTCAGTCTTTCTGATTCGCTTTTTTGTGACATGCTTTTTCAAGTTTAAAGAAGTTTCAGCCGATAAATGAGTTAACAGATATTTTTAATAAACGGTGTATTTGAAAAGACGTATAAGACAAATAGTATCAACATATACTTGAGAAATTGATCTAGATGTGATTTATATATTCAGAAGCCGAAGTTAAACTAATTGTTTCTCTTTGCATTCTTCAGCCTCTAAAACCTCATAAATAAAGCAACTAGGTTGTCAGTATAGAAATCTAGTGTTTACGGAATTCCATACTCAGTATCCATTTCTAGAATAGAAAATACGAAATCTACTACATTTTGTTGTCTCCTAATTATTAAACTGTTGTCAACTGAGATTACTGTAATTTTGCTATGCACTTCTTGGGCATCATACTAATCCATTCATATGATCTAGAAGTGCTTTATACTCTGCTTGAATCTACATATTTCTCATCCAGTCGTTGTTTATTACACTCAGTTAAATTGTGTCAATAGTTTTATATCTAGCACTAAGAGGAAGGTTTTAGTGTTATTGTTAGTCTTTTTTCTTGTTTCAACTATCAAGTAATTATCATATGTTTATTTCTTAACAGATTAGAAGAAGCAACATTGGAGAATCTCTTTGTAAATGAGTTCACTTACAGAACAGTTTTGTGATCTTGCTGCAGCAGAAGAACTTGAAGTTATTTCTGCGATATATGCAGATGAATTTTCTATTTTGGAACCTGAGAGCAGGTAAACTTGCAATAAATAGTGTGAAAATTGTAACAGAGTCTATGAAATCAAGATTCGTCCAGATATTGAAAACATTTCAAAAGAAGAACATATTATTTTAAAATTTCAGCATATTAATGGCTATCCTTCGACAAAGCCACTAAAATATGAGTTCGTACTTTGGTATTAGTTATCAGTGTTTTCAGGTTGCATGCACCATGGCTTAAGTATAGTGTTCTCAGTGAGTTGGAGAAGCAGTTAGAACTCATAGTTTTATCTTCACTTGGCTCACCTGTCGTTCATTTGTTAGTTGAGTGTATCCGATCATTCATGTTGGATAACTTGTCTTCAAATACTGAGAAACACACCATTCCTGGAGTTAAAGTACCAGCATCAGGATCTGTGAACACTGGACTTCATAAACAGTTGAATGCTGTTGTCTCAGTCCCTTCAGTGAAATTCCATCTTGACATATCTCCTGACATCTTATCTTTTGCTTCCAACTCGAAAGCACCAACAATTTACCATGGTGAACCATTTGTCGATCGTAAAAGCATTTTCCAGGTATATTTCAAACAGTTTAAATTTTTTAAATCCTAATCTTATTGACTCAAGTTTTGTTATGGTGTGGCAAAGTGATCATATAAAGAACACCTCAGTAACTTTATCCTAGTAACCATACGTGCTATATGAAATGTAACTCACCACTTTGTTACACACATTACAGTGAAGCAGGATGGAATTCATTATTTACATTTTTGGTTATTGAGTCGTATAGCACAAACCATCGCTTTAGGTTTGAAAAATACACATCAGTGACTTGTGTGCATCAGAAAAGTTTGTCTTTTCTTGTCTACTAGTCACCAATGCAAAGGTATTTTGTAAGCGATGTCGACTGCTGTAGAGCTTGACTTTTAATTATTCCCTGGTCACGCTTTATGGAAGTGTCATACGACATTAATAATTTATAACAATGTCAGACAAACAAATCACCGTGTAACCTGGTACAGAGACACATCGGTTTAAGCTACCACACTACATAGTAGCACGCAAAGGTGAAGTGGGTGGAAAAAATGAACATAGAGTAGAAGAAAGTGTGTAGGAGGAGAGGTAAGAAGGAAAAGAAGTTTAGTGAGTGTTCAAAACTTCGAAGATGTTGAAAAGCAAATGCATATCCATTGTAACCGATTTTCAGCCATATCACTAAAAGTCTCCAATTATTCATCCCTATTGTCTAAGGACTCTGGGCAGATAGTTCACACCTTACATGGCTCAGCGCAACAGCCAAAGACTTCATGAACTGGTGCCATGTTTAGTCTGAACATCATCTACTTTCTTCCAACTCACTCCTACTTCGACTGATATTACACTTCGAGGTAGACAGCTCTTACTTGTGCTGAATAGATGTCCAAGCCACCTAAGATGGTGATGGTTCACAACTTTAACAACTGACTTACAGTCTTCACCTAGTGCTCTCACCTAACCTCAGCATTTTGCATATGGTGATCTCACCACACGCAAAAAATGTTACAAAGACATCTGTGATGAATAACTGATGATCTCTTCATTTCTGTTTTCCGAGGCCTTCTCTGCCGTATAGTAGGACAGAGCAGACTGCAAGGCAGTATGTTCATCTTTTAATAGGTAGTCGGAAATCTCGCCAATCAGTGCTAGAGGGGACATAAGTTGGTGAGTGTCAAATGAACCTTCTGTATCTGGGCTGAGATTTCGTCAGCAATCAGCTCATTTCGGTTGATGCAACTTCCCAAGCAAAACGGTCAACACGTTCTACCACTTCACTTTCTATCTTTAAACTGGGAGTCGGTGAAAACCAGTCGTGAAGCATCATTTCATATCTAACACGTGCAAAACTCATGCCAGACATTCTCAAATTTCTGCTCAAGGCGTTCAAAAGACTTTCCACTTTGTCAGAATCATTACCTAACAAGACTATATTATTCCCGTACCCCAAGTCAACCAGGTGCACTCCTGGCAACAAATCAATCTCTGTAAAGTTGGAGGTGGCCAGGGTTATATCCATTATACATCTATAACAAAACTAATAAGGAACAGTGATAGTGAGGATTTCTCGTAGTTACTACTAGTTGTCCTCACTTTTGAAAATAATTCCCCATAAGCCCTTGCAAGGTTGCGTCAACTTGAGTAAAGTGCTTTGATGGTCGTAATATACTTGGTCGTTACTTTCTTAACAGTTGTATACTTATAGATCCCAGGATCTTTGCCAAGATGCTAGCCAAACTAATTCTCATCTAGCTGTCACATGCAGATTGTCCTGCTTTTTAATAAACACGAATTTTCAGCAATCTTGAACATTCTGCTGGAACTACCTCTGATTCCCATACACTATCTAGCGCTTCCGTTAGTTTACTAAGTGGTTTTCTACCTCCATACTTGAGTTTTGGGCGGCAGATGTACTGCTGATTAACATGAGTACTTAGAAATCACATACAGCTGGTCTTGTAAACAAAATCTACAAATTAGCCTAAGTGGTTTCTTGCCAATCTTGTTCAGTAGTGCTTTTTTAGTTCATGATTCCATCATGTCACGTATCACATTTTGTGATCTTGTCCGGGTGGTTTCTAAAGAAAACCTTATTGAAGCGACAGTTAGACACTTGAAATCTGCTTAGGTGTGAAAAATGACAACGTGAACCGTGCAGTTTGTAAGAAATTCGCAAGTTGATCACTGTATTCTGGTAGCAAACCGTTAAGTCTTGTTGCTTTGCATCGTTCTGAGTTTGAAATAGCCTCAGCTTCGGGGAAAATTGGATGAGCAATATCAGTGTCACATTCAGGTTTAAGCTAGTTGATTGGAAATTGAAGCATAGCTGCAGCCATTCGAACTACCCTTCACATTGTTCTGCCCAATATTTCAATCGTCTTACCTGAAAAGTTACCACGGTCCCATCCTTTTCTGTGATAGTCTCACTGTCATTTTGCCGGTATCCTTAATAAACTCAAACAAATATTAAGTACTATCCAGTGCTAGCGCCTTCTCCATTGCTTTCACCATCCAGCACTGCTTGTGGTCATTGTAAAGACTCTTAGCCTATTTACGTCCACATTTCTTACTCTCCTCATCATGGTCAGTACCAGCTGGAATGGGTCTTCTAATGTCAATCCTTCCAGGCGAGGTCACAGAAAGCTACTGGCGTTTGCTTACCATTGGATGTAGATAATCAACTGTCTTTATCGTTGTTCATATAGCAGACTGAATACTACACCTTTTCCCACCAGGAAGAGATTAAGATAAATCCGTAACTGCCGATCTAAGTACACACTTGACGTTCTTATCTTCTAGTCGAGCACACAGGTGCTTCACTGTTGTTTGATCCCTCTACCCATGAAGGCACAAATTCATTTCCATGCTAACGCGTGGTCGGACTGTAAGCAGACATCCCGATAAGAATGGTACTCCTCCAACGATGGCTGATGATGAAATAACTTATCTGTGTCCACTATTCGTTTGATTTCGGCGGACTTCTAATCAGATAGTGTCTCTCCTTATTTTTGAAATTGGTGGTGGCCAGAACGAAATTCATCAATTTCGGTTTGCTATTATTACTATTATTATTATTTTTCCCTTGGGTTTCTAGTGGAACATGGGGCTTCAGTAGCACGTCTCCACTTCACTCCGTTCTCTACGGTCTTTTTAACCCGGCGCCACGACTGCCCACAAGCTTTCATTTCTTCCTCACATGATCTCCTCCATGTCACCCTCGCCTCGGACGCCCAACTCGTCATTTCCCCTTTGGATTCTACTTGAGGACCTGGCCTGGAGTGTGATGTCCCCGAATGGTCTTCTCAGTGTATGCCCACTCCAATCCATCTCCACTTTCTTCCAGTGCATATTTGTTGGGTGACGGGTTCTTGGTTGGTTCGTTGCCTGCCAGCCATTCAGAGTTCCTTGTTGCCTATTCTTCCTGGCCTTCTGATCTGATCTTCAGTATCGAGTGAGTGTAGGTGGCAGCTGTTGATGTGATGTATGTGTGTAGTTTGTTGGAAGTGCTTTTTGTAATACGCCAAGTCTCTCAACCACCATAATATAGAAGCACTGACTTACTTGACTTGACTGACACTGATGTTGAGAATCCGTATGTTGTTCATGCTTTATGCTGAGTAGAGTGGAGTGGAGTAGATCTCCACACTGATTTCAGATTAATGAAGGAAGGCGTGTCTTGGTGTGTTTCGGATGCTGGCTGGCTTCCATGTCCTCATGTGTACGTGTGCCATCTGTTGTTGAAACGATGATGTCCAGGTAGGTAGGTGGAGACCACTTCCTTTAGGTTTCTCCTGTTGATGATGATTGGTGCCTGTTGTTGCTGGTTAGGTATCTTCATCACCTCTGTCTTCTCTACGTTCACCTGAAAGAAGGTCCGTCTTTGCTGCCTCTCCTGTCAACTTGTTGGTTTTCGCCTGGAGATCTTCTAGTTTGTGCGACAAGACATTAGACATAAATCATCATCGCTGGCGAAATCCACATCTTCTTCAGAGATCTTTTCATCGACCAAACAGCATATGACCATCTTCTCGCTCCTCGTGGCTTGCTGTATGATCCAGTCCAGTCGACCACAATCGGTGATAGTAGACAACCTTGTCTTACTCCTGTCTTCACTTCAAAGGCGTCTCTGAGCTTTCCATTGTCGATCACTTGGCATGTGGCGTCGTCATATGGTTGTTGAATGAGATTGATAAAGACTAGTGGCACTCCGTAGTGTTGAAGCAACTGCCTGCCAAATTACTTCTTGGTCGACGCTGTTGAAGGCCTTCTCAAAGTCGATGAAGTTGAGGTAGAGAGTTGACTGCCATTCTACACTCTGTTCTATGATGATGCGTAGTGTAGCGTTGTAATCTGATCCGCGCATGACTTGTTCCTCCTGAAGCCAGCCAGCTAGCCTGTTCCGGCTGTAATTTTGAATCCTGCACACTATTTAGTCTCTCCAGGATGATGCGGCATAATATTTTGCCTGGGGTGGACAGGAGCGTGATTCCGCGCCAGTTCTTGCAAAGACTTAGGTCCCCCTTCGTTGGAAGTTTGAAAAGGTATCCCTTCTTCCAATCATTGGGCAGGTACCTTCCCTTCCTTCCACACCTTCTGCAATAGTGATATGAGCGTGTCCGCCGTTGTCTCTGAGTCTGTTTTCAGTGCTTCTGGTGGGATTCCACCTGGTCCCGCTACTTTCCCACATTTCAGCAGCTTTATGGCGTTCAGGACTTCACTTCTTTTGTCGGAGGGCTTGTGTTCACTGGTAATTCTGCGGTTGCTGTTGGTATTTCTGGACAAATTGCAGGTGGTGGTCGATTCAAGAGTTTTTTTGAAGTGGTCAGGCCACTGTTTCCTTTGTTTCTCCTCTTTGGTAACTAAGTTTCTTTCATTATCTTTCATTGGTTTCGTCTGCGTTGATCTCTTCCCAAATAGTAACCTGGTTATTTGATATAGTGTTTTCAGGTCTCTCCTACCAGCAGCCTGTTTTGCTTCACTTGCAAGTGTGTCGTAGAGGTGTCTTTTGTCTTTCCTCGCAGTCCTCTTCACTTCGTTGTCAAGTGTTTTATACGTTGTATTCAGTTCCTCTTTTCGTTGTTCATCCCTGCACTGCATTACACTGGTTCATCTTCTACTTCACCATCACCATCTTCCTCTTCCTGCTCTATTAGCTTCCATGTGTCCATCGAGATCCATTCCTTGTCTTCTTTCTTCTTCCTTCCTAATACGGTTATTCAGGTTTCCTTCCACGTCTCTTTCAAGGAGTTCCAGTTTTCTTCCACGCAGGTTTTTCTCGGCAGTGTTGCCTAATGTTTCCCATTTTGTCCTGATGACTGACTGACGTGAAGATGTCCCTTGTAGTTTCATCCTTCATTTCAGTTTCTGTTTTGGGTGTTCCACTTGAACTGTGGTCTATCACCAACATCTTTTAAAGCTTTCAACTTGATTTTGAAGTTAGGTTCCTTTCACTAGATAGTGAGTGGTGTGAACCTACATCTGCTCCCCTTCTTGATCTGACTTTGTGTCAAGTAGGCTGCGTCTCTACTCTCTTGAGATTAAGATGAAGTCGATCTGATTTTCAGTGTGTCCTGTTGTCTGGTGAAATCAAATCCATGTCGCTGCCTTGTGAATATCCATGTGTTTGTACATACTGCCTGACTCCAATCACCAAATCATTAAAGGTGCTGAAGTCCGCAAACAGTTCTCCATTCTCATTCATTTCACCTTCTCGACCCATGATTAGTTCTCTTCGTGTGTTGTCTGCTTCCATTTTGGCATTCATGTCACCCCACCCATTAGGATTTTGATGTCACCATCGCCAACTGGGGTGGGGTTCTTTCCACTACTGATTGCATTAGAATTCTTCCTTCTTCTCTTGATCTGCATTATTTGTTGGCGCGTAGCATTGAATGATTGTGACTTTCCTTCCTTTTGAGTTGAATCTTGCTGTCATGATCCTGCATGAGGAGACTGGTTCCGACTGCATGAGATCCTTTGATGCTCTTGAGGACATCATGATAGCCACTCGGAAACTCAGCGTGCGCGTGGTTGTCGTCTGGTGACAATATTGGAGTAGATTGTTGACTTTCCAGTTGACAGTTTAGAGAGTCCACTTCCATTCCATCTGCTTTCAGTTTGCTTGCACTCGACAATATAGATACCTCCGAAATATCATTCTGATAGGCTTCGCTTTCTTATATAAATGTTTAGGTTACCCACTTATATTACTCGGTCTAAGCGTTGTGCTTTATGTGGGCAAACTGACAACTGGTAAAACTCATTTATCATTCGGAATTTAGTCGATAAGAACGTAGGTGGAAAATACCAGTAAGCATCGGTGAGTGTCAGGTCTTTTCCAGTTCCTACAGATCCATTCAGTTGGATAGCACATAGACGACTGTCGATAGGTATCCAGTCGTTTAGTGCACTTTCTCTTCTACACTTATGCCATACCTACACCATCGAGTTCATGGAAGCTAGCCATTTAGTCTATGGACACTCGTATAGTGAACTTTACAGATTCACCACATTAACTAGATGAAGTCAAGTAAATAACCATACTTGCTATAAATTCGTTGCTCGAAATTCCAGAGTTCCGGCAAGTGATGCCTGTTGTTCGATCTGGTATAAGGTTCAGATGTTGAAGACTACAAGGGATAGTTGACTGGCAGGTTTTACGAGATCAGGAATGGTGGTTTTCTGGCTTATTTCGTTAACAGTGATCTCAGGATGATAAGTTGAAAAAGTTGTAAGAGGATTATTATTAGTACCAGTAGGTGAAGGCATGGAAAAAAGTAAAAGTGAGGAAGCTAGGTTATGGTTTTGTATTCTGTTAGAAGTGTGTGGTTGATTGGTTGGCATCACAGTGAAAGTTATTTCTGTTAGGTACGTGAGTAGTAAAGTAGATTGGCAATGGTTATGCATGATCCTAACGCCGAAAAGATATCTGTTTGATGCCGGAAAGCCTAGTCGCTACTTCAAGGTAGTCAGTTGGGATAATATAGAGTTGTCGAGTCTGTCGTCTACCCGTCTCATAGAGGTTGTTCTTGTCACAGGAAACTCCATAGTAAACCAAGAGTATTCTCTTTGGTGAAGATACTAACAAGATACAGAGTCTTCCGGAACAATTTATTGGGAATTCGGGAGTGTCTAGAATGCGTTCCCCATTTGACAAATGAAAATCGGTGCTCCGTCCAATAGTTGGGATTTAAGTGACTAAGCTGATTCATCACAACACTTGCTTGGGAAGTCGGATCAGCCGTAATTAGTCAGTTGCCGACAAAATATCTGTACAGATAAAAAGGGGTATCTTAGCTTTCGCAAACTTACGCTACATATGGCACCAACGTGATATGCGATTGCTGGCGAAGTGTCGAGTATACTTCACCACAGTTCTCTGTTGTTATACTGTATAGTTAAGAAACATGGCTATTAAAGACAGTATATAAGAATGCTCCAAGCGTTCGACCACCATTACCTTCAAAGCGTATGCCATTTATCATAGTGCCACCGCATCAGTGACTCAAAAGTCAGGCATCTGGTTTCCAGCAGAAGACAAATGTCAGTTAACAGTGATGTGAACCTTTAACGGAGGAGGCAGGGACATGTGTTACGCATTGCATCAGTTCATAAAGTGTTGTTGATCTGGGCCGTGTAGGGAAATGTAGACTTGGCGGTTGTTATCTGTATGATAACCGAAATTGATGGTTGGAGATATGGGTCAGAATCAATCTCAGTGGAGCAGATGGATGTTATCTTAATTTGAATCACCATACCAAGTTTTGTTATTGTTTCTTTTTTAACGACTTTCTACTACTTCTAATTACTTTGTGGGAGTGTTGGTTGTATTACTGTTCCATAACGCCTGATCAACCTTACCTAATTGAATGTGCTCTGGTACTTTCTTAATCAGTACCTTACCTAACGTGTAAGTACTGATAACGAAATACAAATCAAAAGGACTGGTATTCAGGAGTATATTCGAAGGATCAATATATTTAATTAGAATAAATATGACAATAATTATAGGGGGAAAAGTCTAACCAACTTATCTGGCTAGTATGGTTGAACTAGGGACTCTGAAGATTTGTGTGTTAACCAGCACAAAGGGAGCGCAAAATGGTGTCGAGGCCTGCTCGGATGCATGCTTGTTAAAACAAAACTTAAGACACCTTGAGCATCAGGAGGCAAGCTAGAGGTTTATTTAGTTAATTCAATTTAGTCTATTTATTTTGACCCTAGTTGCATTTTGGTGACAGGAAGGTGCACTAAGACTTTTTTGTTTCTTTTACTCATTGATGGGTCGTATCTGTATGAGTTGATATAAGGTGTGGCAACCTGTTACGTTATGTGGTAGTGCCAAGTTCCATGTAGATACTGTCTGACTGATAGACTAAAAAAGGCACGACGTCAAATTAAAGCGATTTTATCTGTTGTCTTGAAATGACTTAATGATGTAGAATATGGAGCGTTGTTCTTTTCTGCATCGCAAATCGTTTGATATTCATTAGCAGGACTGTAAAAGGATCATGGGTGACCCAGCCTAACTTCTCTTCTTACCACAGGAATTGAAGCACTTATGCGAATTCTGTCCATCCCTCCTGTTGTTTGTTCCATTCTTGTTCCTATATCGGTTTTGCTTGTTTCACTTATAAGGTTTTGGTGCCTCCAGCCAGTTAAGTATTGTGATTACAATTACTATGATTAGGATATTACTTAGTGTCTTAGGTTGAAGTAGGATTTGAACATAAGACCCATTGCTTAAAGGTGAGATTTTTTTTATCAAAGAATCATATCTATGCTGGCCAAGTTCTACTTTCAGTCAGTCATTCAGTCAGCATTTAACGTTCATCTTCAAGAAGTAGTTGTCTTCTCATTTTGTTCAGTTTTTGTAGGCATCCACGTTTTGCAATATTGTATACCATCGGTACCACTTTGCTTGCATAAAAATAAGGTAAGTGCTGACATCAATAGGTTGAAAGAAAACATTAGTTGTATAAACGAGGTTCGTTGGTACAGATGTTTCCTTTTTCTGAAGTGAACTCATTTCATATATGAGTGTGAATGACTTAATTATCAGACATTCAGTGATGACAGTTTCAAACTTAATTGTTCCAAACGGTTTAGATATATCAACGTTGAATTAAACAGTTTTTTTATGTAGATTGTTGTTCAGTATCCCTTCCATTTCAAAATAAGGCTACATTTTGAATGATCTCTATCTCTATTTCAGTTTGAATAATTATGTACCAGGGGTGGATCTAGAAGCGAAACTCATTATCACGTATTAATTTCTAATTATTTAGGCTCATTGTGCTCATGTTTCAACGCTGGGGAAGTTTCTCTTTTCATTTCCACACTGCTTATGGATAAAAAGATTTCTACGGCTACTCATAATATTCTAGCTTGGCGTATCTCTTCAAAAGAAGCTGACTGTGATGATGATGGAGAAACACATGCAGGTGGTCGATTATTACATCTACTTACACTATCAGGAATCGAAAAGATAGCAGTTATGGTAAGTATTTCTTTATTGCAATTTCTACTAGGGGTTATGAAGAATATAGTGGTATTCTTTTATAAAGTATAGACATCTGTTTTCCTCGGAAATTGTTGAAGGCATATCATTATATTTTGTTTGACATTGGGTACAGATTGTCCCATCTAACCGGATTTTGAGCAGTTTTTGCGGGTAAACCACAAATTAGCGCAACATCTAAAGATCAAAACTGTGTTCAGGTACTCAGATCATATTGGTCTCTCTTGTGAACACTGATCAGCGTTACTATTGTTTGACTGTTGAAACTTTTTAGTAGTGTATTTCACTTTCCATCAAGGTATTCAGTTACTTTTATCGTAAAGTGTCTCATTTTATGTCATGTTGTTTATAGTGGATGGAAAGTAAAGACTTGTAGCTTTTAGTTGACTAAAATTCTCGATTAACAGTTGCTACTATTAATTAATATCTGATCCTACCTTTTGCAGTGACCCAAACAATTATACTGGTTAGATCTATTGTTCCTTGAGGTTTTGTAATGCAAGAAAAGTGTGTTGGTTAGTGATAGAACTAAACTCAATTACTGTCATAGTGTAAAATCTTACATTATGGTACGGGCTGAAGGGAGAATTTGTACTACTTGTTAAACTCGGTATGACTGAAGTAAGTTGTTTCTGGAAGATAACCAGCATTCAAAGCCGAAACTACTTTCTGTTTATCAGAGGAAACGGTTAGAAAAAGTCAACCTTAAAGCAGCACGCTTGTCCTCGCTCCATAGACGTTCGGTGCTGACAGTTAGGGTCGCTTCATCAAGTGGAGGTATAGCATGGCTAAATTTGAAACAAAAACCAATGAGACTTTGTTTTCTTGGTTCTAGATAGGTGTTTTCGTTCAATCTACAGTCACGTTTTCAGGTCAATCGAACCACCCTTAGTAATACACTTTCAGGTACTTCAAAAAGAAGTAACCTTTCATGGCTTGAGTAGTCCGGAAGTGTTACTGGTTGTCATACATCCATCAGCACTCAAGCCCCAATTAAACACCAGTTTCCTACTTCGTTTGTCTGTTAGTAGTTCTGTATTGCCTCCAGCTTTTTCTAACCCTACAACCCTTGAAAGCGATTTGTGTTCATGGAGTAGTATCCCTGGTTTTCTTTGAACCAGTTCGAAAACTAAATACTCAAGCAGATGGTACTTTCATACATTTATTCTTTTTAATCTCCTCGAAAAGCTCAATAAGTACATTTGGATCATACTACTTAGTTGCTGTATAAGTGTTAACAGTACTTCGCAACTACCTAGATCTTGTTGATTAGATGGCAATTTTTACGCTTTAAGCAGTAGTTAAAATCCAAGTGTTTGAGTTACTGAGCAACACCGCTCAGGAAACCATCGGAATACTTAAGTGTTTCTTATGACATAAAAGCATCAATGGTAGCCTTTGTGAAACACCACATGTGTTGATCAACTCTCCCTACCAACTGTTCCTCGGTCTTTTCAGACAAACGTTTTGAAGGCCAAGATAGAGTTAATTTTCGAACAACATACTGCAAAATGTTTTTGATGCTGTGAACATCTTGAGAGGAAATCTAAGCTTGTTTAGTATTCATTTTTCACATATCGAATGAAATGAGTGGTCTGTGCTAACATCTAGTTTGGGGTTGATCACTTCACTTGCTTGAGAAATTACATCAGCTGGCTACTGACATATTCCTAGCACTAATAAGAAAAGCAGGATAAAATTTACAAACCTACTCCATTTATGGCGCACATGAGATATCCGACTATCTATCAAAAGGTGAGTTTACTGTATAGTAATCCTCCCTACCCTACTGTACGGCTATCAGATGTGGCTGTTGTAAGTATACAACTTGAGAAGGGCATTAATCGTGTGTGGTGGAAATATAGCGTGAGTAGTGTTTGGGTTTAAACGTAAATTACTAGTCAATGAAGGCATGACCCAGAGATATATTATATATGTTATGGCGCTGATTATCTCGTTACGCAATGTTGGGTAGAGCAATTTTAAGGGTTCTCTGGTCTGAGCAAATATTTGTAGCTCATGATGAGGGTGAAAGTTTTTTGGTACTTTTGAGGTGCACACACACCTCACGACTGCATATCAAGGTACTAATCAAAAGACAAAGAAGTAGAAGTTATATCAAAGGTTATGAAAAGCTACTAAAAGAAAGAAGAGGAGAGGAACGAAATAACGAGGCGGGATATAATGGTTAAGATAAAAATAAGGCGTGTATGTATATGCACCATTAGGATTGATTCTGAGAAATATTACTTTGACTCCTCAATTATGAGTTTCGATTGCATCACGTAGCTCAACTTGGAAATCTAAATCCCCACCCCCCAGACGGCTGAAATCAACAGTTAGAGGATTCACGAGCTGATGCCACGTTTTAATTTTAATCTGGCAGGTAATGAATTATATACTTCCTTACTTTAATTCTTAGGATATTGGGAATCGGTAACCGAAGACTTGTAAACATGGCAGGAAATAGATCAGAATAGTATACGTGTATTCATCTCTTATATTATCTTCAAAATTGTGAACATGTTTACAGGTTTGTGTGACTGTTAACTTAAGTTGCACAGGAAGGTAATAGAAACTAAGTTGTGTTTAATTTAAACCAGTGGTTCAAATGCATTTACGCTGATATCTTCGCCTTGGTTCTGATAATCCCACATTATTATTACCTTGTTTTCCTCGTCTTTTTTCCCCCTCATTTCACCTCTTTTCCTTATCGGTGTGCCTATAACAACCCTGACCAATATGCAGTTGTGCTGTTTTTTATGCGTCTTTCTTTTCACCCCTCTGAACTCTTGTAATGGTTTATTGTAATCCAAATGATTATGGAACTAGTGAACATTATACAAGTAACTTCATCTCATGTGTTATGCTTCAATTTATAGTTGTTGTAGTAAATACTAAGCAAGTGACTTTTGTTCTCTTTTTGTCAAATGTCGGATATATTACCGTAGCCTTTTTAAGGGTCTACATTCTCATAAAATAAACAGCGGTTGTTTACAATATTCTAAGTGTTGATGTTTTTTCAACAATAAAAAATATTATGCATTATTCCTAGGTAAGTCGATGGTTTGGCGGTATCCAACTTGGTCCTGATCGATTTAAGCATATCAATAATGTTGCACGTCTTCTATTGACTGAGCAGAATTTCTTATCGAATTCCACCGTTGACAGTAATGTGCGAAAACAAGAACAACATAAAAAAGACAGAAACGCTTGAAAATAAAATAAGTAAGGAATGTGAAATTTATTTATCTAAATTATTTTTATTTTGGTGCCTTCGATTTGTAACTATACTTTCAAATAAAAGAGATTGTGTTTGTGTTTTCTATCTTGCTGTTTATTCATTGGTTCCTCCACTCATACACTCAATTAAAACAAACTATTGATGTTTGAAGTAGCAAGTGTCTCGTATATAGTTTAGAAGGTCAGTGAGTGTAAGTAACGTCTACAAGATCATGTAAAGGTAAAGCATTTATGTCTGATTTGTCTTAAAGGTGTTAGGTAAACTGATGCGGTAGCATATCACTCTAAAAAGACAAGGTAACGCCGGAGAAGAATGTGACTTAGTGAAAGAAACAACAAGATGAGATTTATGATCCTAGGATAAGGTGTTTAGTAATCAAAATAAAGTTGCCAACTGTTTCGGATTTCGAATTTGTGCTGGGAGGTCGATTGATAAGGCTTCAGTTCTCAATATAAATCAAACTAGCTATATCTTCGTTGGATGATGTTATCGATTCTTGCAACCTAGTCGTTAGGATGACTTTGGTTGATGTAAATTCCTGAGTAAGATAACAGCAGGCAAGGAGAATAAATTAGAACAACTGTGTCCTAGGTATTTCTCTTCAGTGATATGTGGCTATTCAAGTCAATATTTAGTACAGTCCCCCCACATAACACCAAAGCAATAATTCAGCTATAAAATGCTTAATTCAACCTCTTTCATCAGCTGACTTTAGTAGCAAGTTCTAATTACTTGCCGTTTAATGCGTATCACTATTGTCCTAACAAACAATATCTGTTTTCCCTATTAAATCTCTATGCTAAAAATGATTTTAAAGATACCATTTCTGTAACTCAATGATCACATCGCTTTCTCTCATCATATTGGAAATATTAAAACAGGAGAATTCGAAATGTTCTCATAGATCTTGCGCATATTTGTGAAATCGGCAGTGAGCCACACCTTTTGTGTGAGGGTTGAATGGTATCACCACCTGATTGTCTAAATATCGGTAGATGAAATTGTGTTCGGACTTTATGACCCATTGGTTAAGAGTCAACCACCTAAACCAATGAGCCACAGCCTTACACTGTTGGATATATGTTTCTATCCAGGATATTAATTTTATGGCAGGATAAAGTGGTTATTTAAAGTTTATGGTGTTATTTGAAAAATTAGAGAGAGAGAGAGAGAGAGAGAGAGAGAGAGAGGAAAAAATGAATATTTAAGAAATATGTGATGCGTCAAATAAATTCCAGCAGCTTGAAAAAACAATGATTCTATCATTTGAAGGTTTAAGCAACCTTTAACTGAAAGACTGGTTATCTTTCCAATTTTGTTGAGTAATAATGTATGTACACTCTATGGAAGAGGTTAGATTTAATTCTTTCTGGCTGACTCCATGACGAATGAATTACCTTAAAACAGACTCTTTTTTTTCTCTTTGAAAAATACAAATGGAGTAGATCTTTGTATATTAACCTTAATATGCTATAAGTATATGAACTACAACAGTGATTTATCTGATTCAACGTTCATCATTCACTTCAAAATATTGATAAATGATGCTGGTTTCATGTTCACTTCATCTCATTTGAAACTTCTTTAAATGCAAGTCACAACTTTAGACTCGTCTATAATTCTAATTACTTTGGCGCCTTAACAAGTTTGTAAATAGTTTATTCTTATATCTTTCATATTAAGATTACTTTAAATCATTGAAGTTATAATTCTTAGTGTTCACAAATTTTGTCTACAACTTAAAGTTGCTACATATGCTCTATTGTACTTTATAGATGTTGAATAAAATGTTTATTTAGTTAATTCAAATCTAGCGGGGTTTTCAAAATGTAACAAGTTAACTGTGTCATATAAGATATGAGTAAATTGTATTCCTCTGTATATTTTACTTTTTCTGGTTAGATAACATTTTATTGTTGCAGTAAAACTTGCATTTTACGAAACACTTAGGGATTTTATTGGTTTTTTCTATAATACAGTATTTCTTATCTAATGACCATCGATGTCGATGAATTGCCACGAGTTATCTACAAAATAAACTACCAAGTGAACTTGTTGTATAAAAAGGGTCAATTTGAATGTTCTTTTCTTGCCTAATCTGTGAAGATCCACTCCAATGTAGGACCCAAAGTCATCTTCTTTTGAAAACACTTATCGTGAACGGTTGGCAAAATGTTTGTTACTAAACGGAGATGACTAAATACGATGGTTCCGAGTTATCTGTTTTTCGCAATATATCAGAATGCTATCTGTAAAGATGATAATAAAAAATGGTTTACTTAGTTGGTAATCGAAGGGAGACCTAAGCCTTTACAAGAACTGGCACAAAATCATACTGCTTTCCACCCCAAGCAAAGTATTATGCCGCATCATCCTGGAGAGACCAAAGAATGCACTGGATTCAAAATTACGACCGGAACAGGCTGGCTTCAAATCATATGGAGATCAAATTGAAACCCTACTCATCATAATAGAGCAGAGTATAGAATGGCAGTCAACTCTCTACCTCAACTTTATCGACTTTGAGAAGGCCTTCAACAGCGTCGACCGAGAAGTAATTTGGCAGGCAGTTGCTTCAACACTACGGAGTGCCACTAGTCTTTATAAACCTCATTCAACAACCATATGACGACGCCACATGCCAAGTGATTGACAATGGAAAGCTCAGAGACGCCTTTGAAGTGAAGACAGGAGTAAGACAAGGTTGCTTACTATCACCCATGATCTTCCTGATTGTGGTCGACCGTAAAGGACTGGATGATACAGCAAACCACGAGGAGCGAGGTGATGGGTGAACGCTGGCTGGACCGATGAAAAGAACCTAGAAGATTTGGATTTCGCAGGCGATGATGATTTATGTCTAATGTCTTGTCGCACAAACTGGAAGATGTACAGACAAAAACCAACAAGTTGACAGAAGAGGCAGTGAAGGAAGAGGGGACTTCTTTCAGGTGAACGTAGAGAAGACAGAGGTGATGAAGATACCCAACCAACAACACCATGAACAACAAGCACCAATCACCATTAACAGAAGAAACCTAAAGGAAGTGGTCTCTTTCACTTACCTAGGCACGGCAGCATAATTTCAACTACAGGCGGCACAGACGAGGATGTCAAAACAAGGATCGGAAAAGCAAGACAGGCTTTCACTAGTCTGAAATCAGTGTGAAGATCTACTGTACTGCACTCAGCACTAAGAACAAGATCCGGATTTTCAACACCAATCCAGTCAAGTCAGTGCTTCTGTATGGTTGAGAAACTTGGCGTGTCACGAAAAGCATTTCCAACAAACTACAGACATTCATCAACAGCTGCCTACGCTGGCTCTATGCTGAAGATCAGGTGAATGACCAGAAAGAATAAGCGACAAGGAACTCTGTCCTGGTAACGAACCAACCAAGAACTTATCACGCAACAAATATCTACTGGAAGAAAGTGTAGATGGATTGGAGTGGGCATACACTGAGAAGACCATTCGGGGACATCACGCTCCAGGCCAGGTCCTCGAATAGAATCCAAATGGGAAATGACGAGTTGGGCGTCTGAGCTGAGGGTGACATGGAGGAGAACATGTGAAGAAGAAATGAAAGCTTGTGGTGCAGTCGTGGAGCCAGGTTGGAAAGACTGAAGAGGACAGAGTGAAGTGGATACGTGCTACTGAAGCCCCATGTTCCACTAGAAACCCAAGGGAAAAATAATATAAATATAGTTGGTAATCGCTGGTACATTACAGTTTCATTCTTACTGATAAGTGAGATCCATACCTTCAATGTGATGACGAAATGCGAGTGAAATAATATTATTGAAGAGAGGGCTCAGTTTCAATTTGTTCAGAAAGCCTTTAAAAACGATAGAATCAGCCCCAATTATGGAACTAGTTTTATTGCTTCTACCGAAAGAAGGAGTGCATACAATACGTCATAAAATCGGAACTATCATAACAAATCAGAAGCCTGTTGTTTCTAACGAAAGCAGTCTTAACAACTTGAGTATCTGACAAATTAATAGTTATAACGAAAGCAGACAAAAGCAATATCATGTTCGTGCTAAATAAAGATTATGAAGAGAAAGCATTTGGAAACTGGACCATATGAACTTATACCAAGTGATAAATATTCAAGCACATTGGAGAAAATGAAACGTGTAAACTGGTGAGGGGAATGAAAGTCAAACTTGGAAATGTGACCTGGTTTTCATTAGCTCCTAAGACGAACTCAGGTGCTAGATTCTACGGTGGATCAAAACTCCACAAAAAAAGGATTCCCTTTAGACATAACTTCACAAATTCGACAAAATTGTCTTTCTAAATCTTCATCAAGAATTCTGAAACCACTCCAATAAGACATTTCAAATATTAGAAATGTACAGAATTCCAAAGATGAACTGTTGAATATGATCGTAGGAAAGGCTGAAATTATGGCAAGTTTTAATTTAATGTCTTTTCAGTAATATACCAATTCTTTGAATGTCTAGATATTGTAAGAAATTCAATTATTAGTAACCAGGATGTCCACTTTCAACAGAGGATATTATAAAATCGTTGAAGATCTGCTTAGAATCTACATATTTCGCGTTTATAGACAGCCGTCAACCAAATGGAGTTGCAGTGAGTTCACCATCTCCAATTGTGGCGAATCTCTATATGAAAGTTTTAAAAAATGTCTAATACCAACCCAGAAATTGCCATAGATCTGTGGATGACGCATCATTCTTAAGAAAATAAACCAACAGACATTTTTAGAACGTATAAATCCTATTTCAGATTCCATTAAATTGTGAAATGGAATCTAAGGACAGCACTCTAAACTTTTTAGATTATTTTATCCAAAGAACGACTGAAGGTAAATTCAGTATGAAAACATGCAGAGAACCAACACATTCCGATAAATATTTAGACTTTCAATCGGATCATCTAATTAACATATAGACTGGTATCGCATTGAACCTACTAAACAGAGCGAAAAACATCTTAA